CTTGTCGGGGCCTCACGTTTCAGCTCGATCTACGGCTGGATTTGCTTTCCTCAGCCGTAAAAAATAACACGCAGGGCCTCAATAGCCAGGGCAACAGAATACATAGCAGATTCCAAACCAGTAGCAAGCAGCACTGAGAATGACGCCAAATATCGGGGTCTCTACGAGACCACGCCCCCTTATGACCATCACATTTGCGCTTCGTGCCCCATCTTTACCGTCATCAAACTATCCACCATACTCAGGAGTGCTCCAAACCTAGCGCGACATGTTTAGACTGGTGGGCGCCTTTCGCCATGCCCCAACAAGTGATCTATATCGGACTTTGTCAATAACTTCACATCATGCTGCTATCTCTTTCTGAGCAGCATTTTCGTCCTGACGGGAGGGGGAGGGTGGGCGATGTAGCAACCCCCCCCCCCCCCCCTCTTACTGCTTTCTGAGGACACCAATGCGGTATATTGTGCAGTCTTATTCAAATTTTTGGTGGCCTCTGGGTCATCCATTGTACGAGTGATGACACCAAAAAAGTGCCCCTAGCAATTCTGGTTTTAGAAAAACGATGTTTTTTACGACCATCGCAAGACAATTCAAGGCCTGCGGGTGCGGCGAGCGGCAAGCGATGATTCTGCGGACCGCGCGCGGAGAGTCGGCACTGTTATGTGAACGAAACCCTGCATAATATACACATGCTCCAAGCACATAAAACTACACGCTTTTATACTCATAATTGAACAAGGGACATGTCTCTTTATGTTCCATGTCACTTCGCTCCATGGTTCCGTATATATATATATGCACATGCAAAGTTAATGTTTAATTTTCAGGAAAATTTGACCTTCAGCTTGGTTTACTGGGGTCACTAGACTAAAGGAGACACTGGAACAGGAGGCTTCTTACCAATCAAGAGATTTCGCTAAAGATAGGTCACTAATTGTTTGCTTTTGCGAGGCTTTACCTTTCTTACTTTGCAAACGTCACGGAGTCCCCCCCCCCCCTCCTCCACCAGTCAGCGTTACAAAAACAGGCAAGTCGGGGTAAGGATTTAAAGTGTTGGCTGCCATGCTTGTTTATTTATTTTATATCTGCTGTTGTAAAAAATCTTCTGCATTTCAGATCATGGAATCATCAACTGCTACAGCGGAATGCCACATTTCATTACCAACATTCAAACAGTGGTAGAAATCCAATTAGCAAGCCAAAATTGCCCCTTGCATGCAAGTAGCATGCAAATCAAAGGTCATCTGTGATGATTGTCATGTATAATGCAGGAGTATTAATTCAAATTGATATCTGGGGCACTACCCAATATCTACGTTGGGTTGGCCCCCTTAACGCCGATTCCTCCCCCCTCCCTCCACCGACATTTCTAGATGGAAAGTTTCAAAAAGATATGAGAAAAGCTAAGTTTAACACAAAACGATCTTCTCTGGACTCAATTTATTCACCACGATCCATGGGTTGCTATATCCCCTAATCATGCATGAGAATTAGCGCTGCTGCCATTATCCCACCGTCACCACACAAACTATATTGATTTCTGCTAGGCTGCATATAAGGTAGGCTGTCTTCCTTCACAGCCCGTACTTAATTGCATACAGTGATTATACCAATGGTCCCATCAGGACAATTTTACAATTCAATGGTAGCAAAAATTATCATCATCCCACCACCACAAAAATTATATCGATTTCTTCCACCATTATGGGCTGCATATAATGTAGGCTGTCTGCCTTCACAGCTCGTACTTAAATACATACAGTGATTATGTTAATGGCCCGATCAGGACAATTTTACGATTCAGTGTTAGCAAACATAGAAATGAAACATACCATATCTGAATCCATGCAATTTCATACCCACAAGGGCAAGAAAATATGCACATAAATGAGCACTGCAGAATGAATAACTTCCAGAGTTTTTCTGTGACAGTAGGAATGCTATCATCAGGAAACGGCCAACGCTTTCCTCAGAGAAAACCGAATGCCAACCTTTCACTGAGCTCATAGGACAGTTGGACCACAACACCATAAAACCTCCTGCTGTTTGAAGTAAGACTTTTGGTAAGGGGGGGGGGGGGGAGGTGGCAATGAAACATATACCCCCCTCATTGTCTGCATTTCCTACACATCATACTTCTCACTTTCATAGCCTTCCCATATCACATAAATTCTCAGCAACAAGATTCATATAAGCAAAAGGTTGAACTGTGAATAGTTGTTTAAAGGCTATCAAAACATTGATCAAATAATCGCATTTCATGCAGGGGCTCAGCTTTTCAAAAAAGGTTTGGGGGCAGTGAAAAATTATACACTGTACCCCCAAAATATGGATGTCTCCCAGATTAGCACACTTACTTCTTCACAAACTTAAACGCGAGAGTTGGGGCCCTGAATTGAATAAAAAGAAGGAGCACTCCTGATCTGAAAATCTACGTGACTGGTTACCCGTCTCATTCAGGACAAGCGCAAAAATGGCGTAAATTGGCATTTCGAAACTATTGTCACCTCCGGTTATGAGCAGTGTCATCAGACTTCAACATCAAATCCACGGTTTTTTGAAAGGGAAGAAAGCTGGTTACTGTTACTGCTTCAATGAGTCAGCAGCCTATTTGGTGCCTTGAAAAGGCGGTTTGGATAATCACAGGCCAATTTTTGCCTTGATCGGATTATCCAGCCGCGACATACCCTGAACTGTCAATGCCTCTCGTCCCTGAGGACAAGATGTTAAATCACGGCATAGTCAACGAAATGAACAAGGCCAAAAATTATACCCTCCGCGGGCATTCATGACACTGCAATGCGAAACCCACTTGCAAAGTTGCAGTGCACTGGAAGTCACAGCCCACCTGATATCAGTCGCATCGCAACGGTTGAAACACGTCCTTCTGGCCAGATGAATCCCCATATCAAAATATTTTTCTTAGGGGACGAGTGTCTGTCTGGGAGTAACCCGCTGTTAGTGGAACGCATGCGGTGATGAGACGGTGCCGCGGGCTACAAAGTGCCAAATGATCCAGCACCGGCTGGTGGGCACATCTGTGTAGCACCCTTTACAAATATGCAGCAAAATGGATTTTCGAAGAGTACTCAGCTTGCTTTGATTCAAGTCACTATTAGGACTTAACGACGTATTCGACATCTAGGGTCATCTAGCGTCGATACCTCTCACACGATTTGTTACAAGGACGACAACTTTTATATCTTGCTGAGTGTAACATACTATTGCCGAATAATTATTGCTGCATCATAATGATGTACGTCCTGTGGGCTACTCTCCTCGCACGTATCATGGCACGTATGAGATCTTTGGTGTGTACATGTTACGAACGAAGTGGTCAGAAAGTAACCAAGCTTGTGGTCTATACATGTGTGTCAGCCAACCTTGTTCGTGTTCACCACTAACTTCGCTGCCTTTGAGACATGCTTGGGTCAATATGCGCGGCTTACCATGTCAATGACGCACTGTACTGATATTATCTGGCACACTGAGAAATCTATTGCCCGCTGACGTGCTCTGGTGAAAAACCGTAATTGGCGATGCGCAACTCCGGAGTCGGGAAAATGGCAAAAATTGCGCTTTGGGCTGGAAATTCAAAATCCCCCACATAAGTATTTGTGGTAGGAAATACCAGTACCAGGCCTGCAAAGACTCGCCCACATATTACATTCTATGATAAAGTTTCTCGGACATGTGTAGTGTTCGAGTGACCTCAAAGCATGTGCTCCTCTTGCGCAGTTTCATATTTTCGCCGCTTTAAAATAATGTTATTGGTACGCATCAACAATTAGAGCCGCAAGCACGTGCAAGTTGTTGATTCGCTCAAGTGCAAATGGCTGCTTTTCACGAAATCATCATAAGGTAAAATTAATATTCATGCTCAGTCGCATCCGCACATATGTACACAAAAAATCCTGAGTGTCAGCTCAAGTATGCTTGCAGCAGTAAACAGTCCCTGACATTCCATATGGCTGTAAAAACTTCCGGCATGGCTTATGACATGCCTCTCATTCTAGCTTTCCCATTAAGGACGTTCATAGAGACTAAAGGCGTCCCGTGCTTAAGTGTGTCATTGGAAAACTACTGGACCATAGCGTAAAAACAAGCTGATGCTACGAGGGAACAAATAGTGTGCACCGCTCGAGACATTCTTAAGAAGACCGATCACACCATTCACTACACTGACACAGCATGACATGATCCAGTGTCATCACATGTCGTGACGTTGTATATCGAATGTATTGTGGCAGCACAAACACTCATTACCTGTTACTATAAGGTTTACTAACTCCTGATGCATGACAGCCTATGAAAAACCTTAACATTGCCTTAACCTTAAACCTTAGAACATAGCCAGGGATAACCATAACACCCTTGGAGCATTTGTATCAAATTTGGATTAAGTACAGTGAACGAAATACAACTCCCAACTCCACACAGTCCCAGTTGCAAACAGCTATAATGCCGTTCAATCCGAGCTCCACAGAACTCCAGCTCCACACGGCCCAAGATCCGCAGAGCTCCAGCTCCACAGGGTTCCTGTTTCACACAACTCTAATTCAGCGAAGTCCCTGCTTCACACAACTCTAGCTCTGCGACGTCCCTGCTTTACAAAAGTCTGGCTCAGCGAAGTCACTGCTTTACACAATTGTCGCTCCACATGGTCACTGCCCTGTTTCACACAACTGTAGCTCTAAGCAGTCCCAACTCTTCGCCATCCTAACTCTACACAGGCTCCATTCCCCATAGCCACAGCTCCACACAGTCCCAGCTCCATACCGGCCCAACTCTCTTAAGTCCCAACTCCACACAATCCCCACTCCCCACAGTCCTAGCTCCACACAGTCCCAGCCCCACACAGTTTCATCTCCACACAGTCCCAGCCCCATACAGTCCCAGCTCCACACAGTCCCAGCCCCACTCAGTCCCAGCCCCATACAGTTCCAGCTGTACACGATCCCTGCTCCAAGCAGTCCCAGGGCCCGTACAACACCGTCTGCTCACACTCCCAGCTCCATCAGCATCAGCTTCCGCTTACCGGTCGGCAATGCCGCGGGCGTCATTCCCGCGAGCAGCACCTGCACCTTGATGTCCATGCCGGAGTGTTTATCAGAGCGGCAGCACCAGCCGGCCAGGCAAGACCGAAACCTGCCAGCACCAGACCGGTCAGGGGTCAGCACAGGCCGGTCAGGTGTCAGCACGGGTTAACCCCGGCCACCGGTCGCCACCGGTCACCGGTCACCGCCTGTCACGGGTCAGCGCCTGTCACAGGTCAGCGCCAGATCGGGTAATCGCTGCCTGGTAGAGCAAAGTAAAGTATATAATTGCGGTGCAATACTAGAAGTACACTAGATGTGCAATGTTAGCTATGACTTTAGCTCACGATTAACGGTTGGGAGCCCCTAACTGAAGGTAGTATGGCGTAGATGCTACAATGATGAATTCACTTTAACTTAAGAGGTTGTTACGTCGATATGTCTTCAAGACTCGGGAAGAGCTGAACACTGCGTCACACCAATGACATGCGTTAGCTGGCAGAATGCGCTTCATCATATTCCATAGCGAACTTGTAGATAACTTCTGGATTGCTCCCGCCACGAACGCACGACCTCTCTTTCGTGTATCCGGCATTTCAGCTATGGGGCTATTGAGACCAAGTACCACATCTCGAATGGGGAAAAATGGCGTGTCGTGCATAAAAATTCGGCCCGGCAGCAGCTTTCGTCACAACTTTTTTAAACTGTTCTAGGACCCACTTTTAACTCCCATCCATCTCAAAATGTAAGCGATCTCTACGCAGACAATCTTTCACCGCAAATCGCCATTTCATATGGGCGCCTAACATATCTTGCCATGGTTTTTGAACTTGTTTTGCTCTATCAGGATAAATCAGCTCACGCGAAAATGACTTACGATGATAATGCTCCACCAAAACGCTGATTGCTGAGCGGCTGGCGCTGGCCGCCACGCCAACCACAGACGTTCATTTCTAGTGACGTCACTCACACCCCTGAATAGCAGAATACATTCTGACCATCTCATTACAGATGCACCAAGAAAATCGCTGCGGTTTGCGCGTCACTTTTTCTCGCTGTCAAACCAACTTCCATGTCGTTTGTGAGCGAGATTGCTGTGATATTCCCAAGCGCAGTGGCAGAGGGTACGGTAAATATACCAATTAAATCTACTGTATGCACCAAGATAACCCATCGCAAAAATATAATTTGGGACTATTAAGAAAGAAAGCAGGAGCTTAGGGCCGCGTCGAAGTGTTGTTTGCGTCGGTTGGACAATGTAAAATAAATATTTATTTCCCTACTACATGTTGCTGGTCTTGCAGTGGAACACTCCACCGTTGTTGTCAGACATAACTGATCTAGAGGGCCTCGTCTGGGTGTCATTTTGAAACATGCCTAAAGGTGGCATACTCTCTCTGCATAATACCTTCTGATAGAACGTGGATAATTGTCAGAACAAGAACTCCCAATTCCACGTAAAACAATGAAAATTGTGCTACTCTAGAATCAAGTATTTCATGATTGGACACCTTATCGCAACAAGCCTAAGGGGAAAGCAGTCCTCACACAAGCAGCAGCGTGTTATGGTTTGTTTTAGGTTCAACCTCAGCAGATATGAAGGCGTGAAATCATATGTCCCCTCCACAGAAAAATAGCGCAGTAAATATCAACAAGCTGTACCTTATTTGACGGAGCTGACTGACCTTCCGTTCTTCCAGAAGTAGATGAATGGGTTGACCATAGAATGAGACATTGCGAGCCAGTAGAATCCCAGGATCAAGTGCTGAAAACGAGTCACAGTAAAACAAAAGCAAAATGACGTCACGGTGGATGCTTCCTCTGTCAAAAGTCATAACGCAATCGCAGTGTCCATCATATATATATATATATATATATATATATATATATATATATATATATATTGATGCATGTATCACATGCTGAGTTTCTGTCAGTTTGTTCAGTTCCTACATATTAAACTGCATTGATTCCAGTGATATCGGCCGTGTAAATATAACAATTTTTACGCAAAAAAAGAACTGAAGGAGTTGACCGGTTGAGTCTAGATCAGACTAAGAATTGGAACAGTCCTGAGCCGTAGTGACAGCAGGTAGGAGCATTGACATTTAAAGAAGAACGGGCGATGGGGTCAGCGAAGCTGCGCGCGACTGCCTGTCATGCATAGATGCCATATATTTACCATGTATTCATCATGGCTTGTTAGCTGTTCCTGTATGAAAGTCAGCTGTGCAACACATAAAATGACTCGCCCACGAAACACATTACCAAGCCCCGTACCTGGACGTATTTCCGTTGGGCGAGCCATAAGTCGTGGTAGGTGTACACGCATGACACCTGGTGAGGCAGCCACAGGAGAGCGAACGCCACCACCACCACTATGAACTTGCGGGCGATCTGTCGACGAGGCGGGAGGAGACGTCAGGCGGGCGTGGGACGGCATAGGAGATGAGACTGAGACGGACGTGAGACGGCATAAGAGAGGAGACGTGAGACAGGACGTGGATTGATATGAGATATGAGACTGAGATGGACGTGGGACGGCATGATATATGGGACTGAGACGTGTGTCGGACGACGTGAGAGAGGAGACGTGAGCGGACGTGAGACGGCATGAGAGAGAAGACGTCATGCGGGAGTGGGATGGCGTGAGAAATGAAACTGAGACGGACGTGGGACGGCATGAGAGGGGAGACGTGAGACGGACGTGGGACGGCATTAGAGATGAGATGTGAGACGGACGTGGGACGGCATGAGAGATGAGACTGAGACGGACGTGGGACGACATAAGAGACGAGATGTCACCAGACACGGGGAACGAGAACAGTGAGAAGTATGTCACTCGGAACGAGACCGGAGAGACGCAGGTGTGATGGTTGGTGACAGCAGTGAGCCAAAACAGGGTGTTCCGTGTGAAAATGATCACATGGCCCGGTGAGCGGTGGTCACACGGTATGGTGAGCGGCAGGCGCGGTGTGCATTTCTAGACGCTGATTTTACGCGAAACCCGCCGTTGTGTCATCATGACGCACGCCATATTATACGCTAAAAATGCTTCGGAAACTCTTTCTCTAGAAAGAATTCTACGGGAAAAATAACATTAGCGCATGAAAAACAAGCACATATCTAAGTACATGCCGGCAGCTTAAACAGGTTAGGTAAGCTTGAATAAGTAATGGCAAAAACTGTCACTGTAATTTTGTATAGAGATATATGCTGTTTTCAGAGGTAGTTGGTTTGCTTCAGTGTTGCCTTAATTGTTTACAGTGATGGTATGCCTCGAATAGCTTGTATCGGCAATATGCTTCCAAAATTTTAGCTCAGCCTGTCTTCCCTATAAAAAATACATCTAACAAACATCGTCAAAAGTCAGTTCGGATAATCCCAAACAGATCGAAATATTATAAATGCAACTTGTTGGCGAGAAAATCAGAAATACTGGTTGTTGAACTAAACCGTACACTATCGTTTGATGTTAACCTCATCATTCCTGTAACTGTTTTCGCCATGTAAACGGAACTATAAGCCTATTTGTCTCTGATACATGACACATGAGATAAACGGCAGCGAAATTCATGAAAAATCGTCCGGTCTATGAAAGCAACTTGCTTAATTTATTCCAGAACGGTTTTCGTTTCGTTATTCTATACTTATTCGTCATTTTACGTTTGCGGTACTTTATGATTTAGTTCCATGGGACTTAAGTTGGAATTTTCAAATGATGGACACTACATGGCGAGCCAAGAAAATGTATTCCACTGCTACATTTACTGGCTTTCTGCTGTACATGACGACGAGCAGTGGAATGTAATCTTATTTATCTTAAACTTTATGCACTAGAGATTTAACACCAAAAAGGTTGCTGTCTGATAACGTGGCGTGAAAGTGGCATTCCTTATTCAACAGCCACGGTGTCCTTTTTGTCGCAGTGAAACGTTTATAAGACTTTCCATCACTTTGTGAAAAGCACTAGCCTACCGACACTTGCAGCGTCCTGAATTTCGTTGATTCTTTGCGTTGCAGTTTTGTGTGAGACTTTTTCAGTTTTTTTGTGAGACTTCCAGATTTCGAGTATATCCAAGTTTGACTTACTACGGACTATGGCGGTACATTCGTTTATATATATATATATATATATATATATATATATATATATATATATATATATATATATATATATATATATGTTAAGAAGTGCTGCTGTTACGATCCTTTGCCGGGCTGACCTTTCGTCGAGAGCGGATGGCTGAGAGCTCGGCGGTCGTTTTGAAGCCGGTGCTGCCAGGCCTCCACAGCTGGCGGCCTGTAGTGACGTCACATGCACGATGATGAGGTCATACGAGGTCCCTTGCCCGAGTGCCTCGGCAAACATGCGGGTACGGTTTAAATGGCGACATCTACTGGGACCTACGGTCAGCTCTGGACTAGGATCTCCAGATTGTCGAGGCGTGGACGAATTGGTGATTTTAATTGTTGTGCTTCGGTGAAAGGGACACCTGTATAATACACAGGCTTCTTACACGGGTGCTGCCAACTTAAGCGTACTCACCACCTGCGACGATACATCCTTAAATTAATCGCACGGTGAGCATCAAACGAAGCAAAGGGAGGAAGTCCTTAACAAAAACAGACGTTCCTAACTCTCACCATTGGCCCCCGGTTGAAAAACTTACCAATTATCGTGTAGCAAATGGCCATGAACAGCATGGGCAGGATGTAGGTGATACAGAGGAAGACGATGTTGTACCTACAAAACAGACGGCACGTCAGTGACACTTCGACTGTGCACGAAACATTGTTTTGTGACAGCCGTAACGGTAGCGTGTCAGGGCTGCCCAGTGCGAGAGCTTTGAAATGTGCGGAGGCGTCCCCCGTTCAGGGGACGCTCAAGACCGTGGTTCCACCATAATCGTCGTGACACATAAATGTTCGACTGGTGACGGTGAGCACGGCCGGCCGCATGCAGACTCGCACACAGGCAAAACACACGCCTCAAGGGCCGATAGCGTCATGCTTATGCAGTAACACGGCAGAGAAGCTCGTCATGCAACGGGCAGGCCACAAGGGCTTCGTAGGCAGATCATCACCACTATCGCCAGCATAATCATGGCCTTAACACGACGTGAGCTCAGCCACCGTGCGGACCACGTCCACTGCTCCCAAGAAAATAGCCTCAGTAAGTGAGCTGAGTCCCCGCCTGGCCTGTGCGGGCAGGGACTGGGAGGTACTTTTGTTGCGCGCTGCGATGGCCGCCAGCCGGCGCTGTGGAGTAACGCCGGAGCGTGGCAGCCACCTTACCACGGCCCGCCACGGCGCGGCCTAGCGAGCCGCAGTGTGAGTCGGTGCAGTGCTAGCCGAGTCAGTGTTAGGGTTAGCGCTGACTCGCTGCTGACTCGCTGCCGACTCAATGCCGACTACTCACACGTGATCGGCGAAGGAGGTTTGCCGCAGTCCGTCGGGCCAGACCAGAACGCAGCCGCGTACCTCGTCGCCGGAGGGTAGCCTGCTGTCGCAAACGGCCGCACTGTCAGTGGCACTGGAGCGGTCTCAGAATGGCGGGCTGCTTACCACGGATTATTACAGATCATTGAGAATTACTACGGCACAGTACGAGCGTTGATCACAAGTACCTCTGCCATGCAGAACAAGTTGGAGTCGGGTTCGTTAAACGCAGGTACGAGTGTTCGATGACCGCTAGTCTTTTTCAGGAAATGTAATGACTTGTCTTTCACATGTTATCTACGCACAGCATCAGAGATAAAAGAACGCTGGAGAGCCGGAGGGCATTGACCAACGGAGACCAAATTCGTCACATGGGTCCATGCAGCGCTGGAAATGAAATCCACGTCGCGTGAAGAAGCGTGTGGATTTAGGCAAAGTGCAAAATGCCGAGAGTTGGCAAGATTTTTGCAAGTAAAAAAATATCCACGCTGGGTGTGTAGAGGTCTTGGGGATTTGACAGCTCATATTTCTGTAGTGACTTTTCAAGACCTACCATTGTTCAGAACACGAAATATTAATCGATAGTTTGCTGTGGCTTGCATCATATAGATGGCCAGTGGATTGCATATGTGTAGGGATGAAGGGGAGTCTTCCACATTTTTTTTAGGTTTTGAACCGAGATAGCTAGTTTGATGTTCATTCAGATCAGTCCACAGCCCTTCCTTCCTACGGTTTTTCGAACACAGGTCGAAAAAAGACGCCAGCCAAAAGCAAACGCCAGTAGCAGCACGAAATGATCAGCACCTGCAGATCTCTGAATTTGGCATACTTCGTGGAAATTCCAAGGTTTGATCTACCCAGATCAGTGACCTAAGGAACGTCAAAAAGACCAACTTCCCAAAAACTGACCACATAACTTTTTGTGGGTCATTTTGGTGCAGTTCACATCTCTGTCCTCCGTAAGTCCTAAACCCCTCTAATTTCTGATCAACACGCTCGTAAAGATGTGCAGACAATTTTGTCCAAACTGTTTCAATGTCACCCACGACACCGTAATAAAGTGATTCAAATCCTACCATTTCATTAGCCACACGCGATCAAGGCCAAGACAAAATAATTGTCGAGTCGTTCATATCTGGCGTTCTGGAACACAATTTCCAGGTCTAACGGCCTTCAGCTGGGTCTTAATCAATGTTGTGTAACGTACGACGACGATGCTGTATTTAGAAACACATCTTTTAGTCAGAAATTGTGCTGTCTAGAGAAGTTTTTTACTTAAGACCATACCAAAAATTATAAGTAAACTTAGCATATCTGATGGGTGCTTCAATACCTCCTAATGTGGAGCATTTTCTTCAAGTAAAGCGCCACAACCGAATATGTGAACGCAAGTAAACACATAAAAGGAGCCAAAGCATCCGCACATCTCGACAGTTGGTTTCTGCAAACATCGCATCGATTACCACCCCACCTATTGACACGTTGAAGTACTACAGATGTGTTGGCTCGTCCGCTACGGTGGGAATTTTTCCCGGCCAGTTTGCAAGCCGTTCCGCAGTCGTACAAGCGTTCCATGACGCAATCAAGCGATGAGGTTTTGAGGAACATAGTTACTAACTGATGACATGGTTTTCTAGATCAGTCTTTTGCACTTGGAAGTGCAAAAAAGTGCATACCAATGGTAAGAAACTGGCCCATTTCATGCCATCTGATGCTTGATTCAATATCATGGAACATGAACAATAACTTTAAGCCCCATTTAAGCTCCATACAAAGTGAGCAGGATGTGCTGGACGGCAAACAAAATTTGACGAAAAAGAACAAGAGCAAGACAAAATGTGGGGAACAGTGCAATTAAATCAAATTACATGAGTGTCAAATGCAGCAAAAAGCGCGTTAATTTTTTCGACCCTTTAACGTCATACCTACACAAAAAAGCGTCTGTTGTGACCTATCCCACGCTTCCCCTACCCAAAGTAACCCGAGCAGCGCGAGAGTAAATGCATCTGTAACAGAAACCGCTACTTCTATGAAACGTTGGCGGTATCTGTTGATGCCTATCGCTGCCAGTGTAGTATTGCTGTCACTGGAGCTTGATGGCATGCGGACGAAGTGCTCTTAATAAAAGTACAACAATGCATACCACCCAGTGATGGAGGTATGGGTGAGAACCTGCCGCCACTCCTGGACTTTCTGGACCGTATGAACGTTCCCAGTACCCTGCGTCGCGAGTTTTCCTCCCAATACCCTGCGTCGCGAGTTTTCTCAGCATTTCAGGTGGACATTCCTACCTTGTACTGATTGTCAGGCGTGCGTACCAGGCCAAGTAACTCGCATTGAGAGAAGCATTGATACCAGACTTGTCGAAGGATAATGCACTGACAGGGTGCTAAAGCCCGTTATTAAGCGCATAGCAGCCCTTCGTTGCACATAATAGACATATTGGTTATCGTCAATCACAGCGATTTTATTATTTGTTATGTTTCATGCGAACTGCTTGTATTGTCGGATTCCTCAGATGAGCATCCACACTTAATATGATTTGCTGTCCTGGTGAAACCCTGGTGACACCACCGATCGTGAAATCCCCAGTCAGCGGCAGAATTCGGCCGAGCGGAAAAGTGCAACGTACCGAAATGCTCGCTACAGTACGACCTGTCCATCAATATCACTGATCTTTAGTGCGACCACTATCATCGGCACGCGGGTGGTGGTGCCAGTCAGTTGCAGCTTTGCAGTACTCAAAGCGTCTTGAGGCCCATCCCCCCAGTAGGGTGAACTGGTAATCGGGATGCTCTGACAAACTGAGCTATCGGGGCAGGCTTCCTTGGCTTTCTTTCTTCATTAAGTAGAATTATTCCATAAGCTATCTTAATCCCCGTACATTGATAACACAATTTACTCCTCACGCACATCATTACAATTCTCGCGGGCATCATACGCCAAGGTTGAACTGCATTCGATTGATGAACATTTCACCAGCAGCACCAAAAACCTGTCGAACCCCAAATTGACTGGATCCGTGATGGACAATTCGTTCAAATCGTGCGAGCGTTGCGCACAGCCGGGTGGCTTGTGGAGCTTTGCAACGGAGAAATGCGCTCATCTTAAGAGCAACTGATAACTACTGCGACTCAAAACTTGTTACTCAGACGCTACGCCGCCAGTATTGCGGCCTAAGGGAACTCGTGAATCTCCTCCCCCCCCCCCCCCCGTTAGGTTTGAGCGCAGTTTGCACCACGGCACTGCCGAAAATAATTCCGAATGGTATCTTTACGACTGCACCCTTACGACTGTGCCCCGACGGCCCCTCTATGATCGTAGCACAACCTCGCGAATGCATCACGACATCCTTAGGTTTGCACCCCGACGGAACTCTTACGATGGCGCCCTTATGACTGTACCATGAAGACACCCTTTACGACTGCATCGCCACGACTGCACAACGACATCATTACGACTGCACCTCGACTGCACCCTTAGGACTGCATCCCGACTGCACCCTTACGACCATACCCCTACTGCACCCTTACGACCACATCCTGACTGCACCCTTACGACTGTACCCCGACGGCACCTTTACGATCGTACCACGACAACCTTACGACTGCACCATGACGACACCCTAACGGCTGCAGTGCGCTCACCGGTGCGTGACGATGTCCGAGTAGAGCAGGTGTGGCACCGACAGGCAGCCACTGCACACCCAGATGAGAATGATGCAGCCGACCACCTCGTCGCGTCGGATCTTGCGGTGCAGCGGCCGCACGATCACCATGTATCTGCAGGCCAGCCCCAGAGTCGTGACGCCTCCACCGACACACTGCCGTCACGCTGCGAGTCACGACCAGCTGAGCGTCACGCCCGCAAGTGGCGGACCGTGTGGTCCTCGGAAGGACCGCGGACCGCGGCCCCCGGAAGTGGGCCGGAAGCTGGCGGCGAATGGGACCTGCCGCCAATTGGCGCACGTGGATCCTCGCAGGTGTGAGATGGAGACTGTTAACTCAAAATCACCGCCTGCGGCTGGTCATGAGTCGCAGAATTACAGCCATGAAACGGGCCACCGGCCGCTTCGCCACTAGCCACGGCCCGCCGCTTGCGTGGTGATCTTTGTTACACATGCGACACGTCAAACATAATTTCGGAAATCTATGGGTACTGTCGTTTCACAGGGCTTCTCTAGCTTGTTTACATTTCTCGCCAGTAATGTGCGGTTTGGAACGAATCTGCCAGGGGTTAAAGTCCGAGGGTCGTGTGATAGCGGGTTATCTTTCCATGCATCGCCCGTATATCTTATGCCACATGGCACACGGTTTAAGTGACATGCTCTCCGTCCCCTAGGCAAATCCCATTCCTTTAGACACATGCGAGCAGAGAAGTGTCAGCCTTTCGCGCTGGATGACGGACTGGCGTCTGTGCATGCAGTGCCCATGCAGCTTGGGGTATGCACTAGGGAGTGTTGCTAATACCCACACATGTCTCTGCACAATGTAGAAGCACATTTGGTGTCAAGTTCATGCAGTGGTAATTCAGATCACCAACCCATTGAGAGGTGGTAACCTCACATTTCAGGGGGATGAGGTGCTCACATGCATAGGATCTGCAATGCTGCGTGTAATGCGAACCCGTCAGGGATAAATTCCTTGCCAAAGCACGATTCTGACTGAATGCCAGTGAAGCGCAGTCACGAACGTAGATGAGACAGCAGTATTAGCCTTACCCCTCGGAGAAAAACCAGCAGAATGGACATATGGTTGGGTTGATATTTCGGCAACATGCCTTATCGAAACAATAGCAAAAGTCATAGAGACTTACTCACTGTAGAAACTTTTGCTATCATTCCGATAAAGTCCTGTTGCTGAAGTATCAACCCAACGTTATCTCCATTCTTGTTTTTTTCTCCGAGGAATAAGACTAATGCTGCTGTCTTATCTATGTGAATAATGTTCCTCGCAAATGCACTGAACAACTTGCGATCACGTACGCCTCAAGCTCACTGCCAGCAGTGACCGAAGCGTGGCTCCCATCAGTGGTTTTGAAAAGCGGCGCTCTTCGCACCTCTTTCACAGTTTCGGGGCGCAGCTTTGTACGTTTTTGTGTTGGCTGCATACCCATTCCCGCGCTTCCCGGCGGGCGTTCGTCTATGGTGGACATGTGACACCTTTCAGATGAAACAACTTACTAGGAAACATTGCCCGAAAATATCTGGCGCTGGCGTGCTGAGCTGGACGCGTTGGTGGCCTTATCATGCAGTGATTTTACGTTTATGATAGGAAAACATCGTGGACCCTGGACCTGCATCACGAACATTCCGTTAACACCTTACTCCCGGCAGATCATCCATCTCTGAACTCAGACGTCGCCACGCAGAGCTGCATTTCAGCTCGGTATCCGGCAACCCCGCCGCGGTCGCGTGGACCGATCCCCCTCGTTGTGCAGCCTCCTGACCCCGCCGCGGTCGTGTGGACCGCTCCTCCCGTCACACGGCCTCCTGACCCCGCCGCGGTCACGTCCCGTCGCGCAGCCTCCCGCCCCCGCCGCGGTCGCGTGGACCGACCCTCCCCCGTCACACGGCCTCCTGAACCCGCCGCGGTCATGTGGACCAATCCTCCCCGTCACACGGCCTCCTGACCCCCCGCGGTCACGTCCCGTCGCACAGCCTCCCGCCCCCGCCACGGTCGCGTGGACCGGTCCTCCCCCGTCGCGCAGCCTCCCGCCCCCGCCGCGGCCACGTGGACCGATCCTCCCCCGTCGTGCAGCCTCCCGACCCCGCCGCGGTCGCGTGGACCGATCCTCTCCCGTCACACGGCCTCCTGACCCAGCCGCGGTCACGTCCCGTCACACAGCTTCCTGACCCCGCCGCGGTCACGTGGACCGCTCCTCCCGTCACACGGCCTCCTGACCCCGCCGCGGTCGCGTGGGCCGATCCTTCCCCGTCGCGCAGGCTCCTGACATCGCCGCGGTCGCGTGGACCGGTCCTCCCCCGTCGCACAGCCTGCCGACTTCGCCGGGAACCTGCCGACATGTATCATTATCATCGCACGCAGCGTCCACATAACACGGCCACACCGGAAATAAAGTCCACCTTTCTATCGAGACAGCGACGAGGCTGAAGACGCTGGCTGTGACCGTCAGGCTGGACACGAAGTTGCTGATGATGCAGAAGGGCAGGCCAAACCGCCAGTCGGCGTACACCACGTAGATGAAGTTGAAGGTACAGTTCAGGCTGATCATGAGCAGGTTGGCGACGCTGAGGTTGGCCAGGAAGCAGTTGGTGGCTGTTCGCATGTGACGGTGAGCTGGAACACAAATGGGTCGAACTCAGGCAGGTTTGTTCTGGTTTGGTTAGGTTTGGTTCTGGTTTGGCACTCTGACGACCGGAGGCGTATGCTGCCACTTCATGCTTGGACTAAAACACTCACGCCACGTACTTACCATAGGGTGTTTGACAAAGGTTCCATTCTTTAATAGCTACGAAAAAGCAACTTTAAAGTTTGAGAGGCACGGCTTGCTGGTTTATCTTCACCCTCACCCTACAAATGTTTTGTTTTCAGAATTTGGAGGGGCTTTGATAAAGGACATTTTGACGGGAACAAATATGATCAAACACATAGCAATGCCAATATTTGTGACATTCGACACACGTCGAGTGGAACAGCTCTTGCGCACAAGAGCTATTGTTCATTTTGACTTGTAACTAATATCTAAAATATAGCCGTTTAAGTGCAGCGGATCATCTTTTTACGACGGCGTTTTATCCACGTTCGTCCTACGTGGGGCCCACAGAAGAGGCCACCGGCACGCTTTTCCGTTGGCTGCAACCCCCACTCATGCGCTTTTGAGTGCACTTCTTTCGACGGCAGTCGGGCGATATTCGTCCAGTAAACTTCGATCCGCATTAAATAATTTACTCAAAAGCCTTGGCCCACCAAAAAATTTGTTGACGTGCTAAATATTACAATACTTCAACTTAACACGCGCCCGGGCGGCCAGTCCCAATAGCCTTCGCTCCGGTGGGGGTCAATTTGACCCCTGCCTGAGATCTAAGGAACTAAGAGAGCTAGGGACAACAAGCTTACAGGACGCGTTGGCCTGTACCTGAGCTCACTTAGGTCGGAGTTTGTAGCTCATAGGTTATGACCTTCCGGTCAAATAGCGTCAAACAAGGCCAAACTCCAAGTTGGTCTCCAAAGTGTTCCCAAAACCTGTTCTAGGAAAAAGGTCATATACTCATTTAATGTCAGTGATCTTGTTTGACCTTTTGAATGTCATGGTGACCTAAGTCACACAAGGCTGTTTTTAGTTTTGCAGTTGAGTAAGCGACGCAGATTACTCCTGGCAGTACGTTCCTATAAGCAAAATGTTGACCTGGGTCATTTTACCTTGCATAATCTGCACTGCACATATGTGTGGTTAGTTGGTCCGATGAGATCCCTCCCTTTTAAATATCGCGGTCAAAGTGTCCCACAATACTCTTAAAACAGATAGTGCCATACGCCTACAAGGTCAAATTAATAAAGCTTTCAGAAGTAATTGCGGTCAGCCAATCATATAGAGTACTGATAGCGATTGAAAATAGATTAGATAATTAGGTCAGGTTCTACAAGGAAAGGGCGTATCGGTGGCTTGCAGAAACAACTCACTAACATGACTGTAGGTCTTAGCGGCGGCTAGGTAGCCCGCACGTCCTACTATCCAAGCACAAACACCCGCCCCTTGTCTGGCAAGAGGCTCACCTCTTGGGGCGACTCCCATCCGCCTCGCGAGAAAATCCGCGGGCTCTTCGCGAGGAGACTCGCATCTTACCCGACACGGAGAAGCACCAATACCCAATGCGATTGGCGAAGCGCCACTTAATCAGCGAAACGTCTGCAGCCCGGAGAAGCACTACTGACTCGACACACGTCCCTGTAACAGTCTAGCGAGCGCATGAGGCGACGGCTGGCTGCGCGCGAAGCGCCGTGCCTCGTCGGCGAAGCGACGCCTTACTCAGAATGATGGCGCAGACCAGGCTGTTGCCGGCGATGGCGATGACGAGCATGGCCCCGAAGGCGACGGCCCAGCCGAGCGCTGCCCACGACGCCATGGCGAAGCCGTCCGGCCGGGCGCCAGCCTGCGCGCCGAAGTTGTGCTCCAGTAGGAGCCGCAGCTGCCATATGTCCGAAGAAGCCTCGAGCATCGCGACACGACGTCCTCCTGCGGGTGAACAGTGGGGCGTGAGTCCCCTCTGCTCTGCTGAAGGCGGTGCCCTGCGCCACTCAAAGGGCGCCGAGGGGCGTCGTCAGATGAATTCTGGCCCAGCGGCTGTGTGTTTGGCGAGCACGTAAGATAAACCGGCATGAGAGGTACGCAGCGAGTGGTCAGGGGAATACAGAACTATTCGCAACAGCGTAACGACTTCTGTTGACTTTGTGACCTCTGCCAGGCCCTCACATTCTGAAGTCCGAAGTGCCGTCGCCTTGCCGGGTCCACAGACATGCGGGCAGGAAAAGGAAGTGGGGGGGGGGGGGGGGGGGGCTGTCTGAGCGGGCACTATGCGGTTCAGATGGGAGATAGGAGCGCGCGGGTTCAGTTCGTCTCGAACCACACCACACACAAACGCAGGTGTAGAGTACTACACGTGAATATTCCGTTCTACTAAAGCGTATCAGCCATTTGGCGCATCAAAAGACACGGTTTGTTTTCACAGCGGAAAAGCGGAAATTCAATGACCACGAGGTGCTGAATAAAATTAAGAATGCCAACAAATGCCTCCCGGCCTCCATCGCTGCATCAGGGTGAGAACCAGGGGAGATGGGATAGTGGACATGGGCGTGCATTTTCCGGACTGATCAAAACGTAAGCCTATGTGACCTCAGTTCACAAGTCTCAAGTTCTCAAGTCTCATGAGAACTTTCAACTCATAAAACGGTTCTCTTCATTCATATATCTCCATGAGGATATGAATATAATAATTAAAATGGTTCACTGAAGAGATGCAGCAGAAGCCATGGGTAAGGGGCCTGAGCGTATTAACAGCATGTAACTCTGTTTCTTCTAGAAGCTCTGGGTATGGAAGCTGACCGTAATTGAGACATGTTGTAGCTCCGTTTCTTCTACAAGGGGCAAGACACCTTCCCTGGAAGTGGCACTTTTGCAAACCTAACATATCACGACTGTCACTTTTGCAGGTTGTCGTTAGTTGTGACGCTGCCAACGACAACGCGCACTTCAGTGCGCTCGCTTTCCATGGCGCACAAGAAAGCACATGTTGAAGTCAACACTTGGCGGAATTCCAACAGTGCATAAAAAATCAATAAAAAGAGATAACCACGAAACTAGTAGAAAGGCGTTTAACAAACGTTATACCTTTAACCGTAACTTATTTTTGGAAGACACGTATCCTTCATGGACACGCGTAGAGCACACGGTATACTCTTATCGCTATGAGATGTGTTTACGAACGCACTGTGCGTGAGGACGCTTCCAGTTTACCCACTTGTAGAACACATTATCATATAACTAGCCTGGAACAAACGCGCCTACATTCTCTATCATCTATATGTCTACATGATTTTTACTAGATACAAAAAAATAGTCACCTTTAGCTCATTTTTGCACCTTTATGAAGCTCCAGTGGACGAGAACAGCTCAGTTATTTCGCATTACAGCGTCGTTTTTTACTTTACCTCCTGGTATAAAGAAGGTTGTTAGCTGAGAATGGGAACTTTAAACTTATAATAGTTATTGTTAGCATGCTCAAGTAGACGTCAAACAAATTGTACGTAGAATTTGGGCATGCAGGTAGACGTGATACGAAAAAATGTCTCCCGATGCGTAAGTAACCATGCAACATCAACCGTCAACAGAGCTCGGTACTTTAAAGGTAGCATTTCACATTTGATGATGTTGAGGCAAGCATCAGATGTAATGAGACAAGGTCACTTATTACTTTGGGTGTGCTTTTTAAGTGGAAAAGACTGCTCTAGACAGCACAGTTCTCTGGCAAATATACATCTGAATGCGTCATGGTTTGAGCACGTCATCTTGTCGTGCACAACATCGATTGAGAGCCAGTTGACGGCCGTCATATCTGGAAGTCGCGCTCACGAACGCCAGCTATGAACATCTCGACAGCTGCATTTTTCACCTTGATCGCCGCATGGCCTATGGAATAGCAAGACTTGACGGACGTTATTATGCCATCATGGATGCCAAGGCTACTCTGAAATATTATCCCCAATATACTTGTACCTATTTTCGCCGGCGCGTAGCTCAGAAACTAGAAGAGCCTTGGTTTTAAGAAGGGAAGGGTTGTGAACACCACTGAAAGGTCTCCAAGATGGCTATTTCAATTCAAACCCCCATGTCAGTGTGGAATACTACCTTTAAAGCTGTGCTCTTACTAGTGTTCCACTGTAAAAACGGTCACAGTGAGCACAAAGCAGTGAGCACAGTGCACAGATTGCGAAAATGCTTCATTTGTAGGCAGAGCCAATCTGTGAGCAGGGCTCACAGGCTGGTAGAGCAGAGCAGAGTGTGAGCAGAGCTCGTATGTGAGCAGAGCTCGGATGTGAGCAGAACTCGCGTTTACTAACAGTCAATTTGCGACCAATGTACGACATCCTGTGAGGAATTAATAGCTTTTGGAATGACTCAGCTATGGCTGGAACGACTGGCTCAGCTGGTAGAGTTGTTAAATGGTTCTGGCTCACCGGTGGGCAGCAGCGAGTGACAAGGGCGACTCAACGGAAAACACTTACCAGCGACAAGGACAGCTCAACGGTGAGCACTTAGCAGTGACAAGGACAGCTCAACGGTGAGCACTTATCAGCGGCAAGGACAACTCAACGGTGAGCACTTACCAGCGACAAGGACAGCTCAACGGTGAGCACTTAGCAGTGACAAGGACAGCTCAACGGTGAGCACTTATCAGCGGCAAGGACAACTCAACGGTGAGCACTTACCAGCGACAAGGACAACTCAACGGTGAGCACCTACCAGCAATTAGGAAAAGCAATGGACAAGAAGTTGCCAGTGACAAAGACAAACGATAGGTGAGCAGTCATCAGCGCTTAGTATGAACGATGGGCGAGCGGTCATCGTCGACAAGTCTGGCTTACTTACGGGCGGTTAGCAGCGACCATGAGGGCCTAGCAGTGATCAGCTACTCGTCATCGGAGCAACTCTACGGTGAGCAGCTGTGGAGCAGCTGCCAGCGGCCGACCTAACTCATCAGCGAGCATTTACCAACGACAATGCCAGCCCGTACTTGGGCCGCGCTCAGCGGCCAGGCCAGCTCAGCAGCGGCGCGGCCGGGGCATACCTGCTCTCGCGAAGCGCCCAGAGCGGTGCCGGTGCTCAGCCGGGCGGCAGCAGCCGCGCTGGACACCGTCCCCCGACCATGGCCGATGGCCGCGCTCAGCACGGCGAGTGTGGCCGCCCGGAGGCAGACCTCAGCCGCTGCCCGGCGGCCGCCGATGGGGCGGATGACTGGCTGCCGCCGACGGCCGAGGCGTCCAAGTCAGCGTGCGTTCCGGCCGGCACGAGGCGCTCGAGAAGGGCTCCGGAGAAGCGATTCGCTCGCTAAGGGCTCCGGCGAAGCGCTTCACTCAGCAAGGGCTCCGGCGAAGTGCTTCACTCGGTGAGGGCGTCGGCAAGGCGCTGCGCTCGGTAAGGGCGTCGGCGAGGCGTTGCGCTCGGCTCGGGCTCCGGTCAGGGTTGGAGCTCGGTTGTGGCTCTGACGGAGACTTGGCGCTCAAGGGATGGCTAATCGTGACTCCGAGTTCAGTCCGGATTCGGCGGCGCGAATCTTCAGGAACGTTTGCAGGCGGTCCCCGTGGGAATTAAGTCACGAGAACACTATCTTTTGACCGTATTCAATGCGACCTTGTCAAGACAAGAAACAATTCAATTGATAGTGCGGGTGGTATTCTATACCACTAGTATAGTCTAATATAGTCTATAGTCTAATAGCACCCGTACGTGAACCAAACGAAGTGGCAGCACTTCGACGTCGCTGGAAAGGTCTCTCACGGTGTGCGTGCGCGTGCGTGTTGACCCGTCACCAGGTGTCCGGCGCACACACACACGCACACACGCACGCGGCGCGTCCTTCGCAGCGCTCTGTGCAGGTGCAACTGCTGGTCGGCACTTGCCGTCTCGCCTGGAATACTACGGTGCGCGCGTCTGTTGCGCCGCGTCCCCCCCCCCCCCCCCTGCCGACGCCAGGCAAGACCGCGCGGCCCGCCCCCGGGCTATCGTCGGTGGTATAATGAGCTACACGCCACCAGGTTTTCATCGGTGGCACGATTGCCGTAGGAGGGTCGCCTTATGGCGACGGACGACGACGGCTGCGGCGAGGGCACGTTGGTTGCGCGCGACGTCCAGCTAATCGCGAAGCTCTGTCGTCCTCTTCCTCGTCAGCCTGCCGCCTCACCTCGCCAGTCTGCCTTCTGCCTGAGGTGAGGCGGTAGGCTGGCGAGGAAAGAAGCGCAGCATGTGCTTGCTGACGAGGGTAGAAGCGCAGTATGTGGTAGCTGACGAGGGAAGGAGCGCAGCGTGCGTTTTCTGACGAGGAAAGAAGCGCGGTACGCCCTAGCTGGCTGCCAGGGGATGGCCAACTGGCTTCATGATGGCTTGGTGATGGCCATCCAGTACTCTTGTATGCGGAGAGAGCGGTTCAAACCAGTGGCATGGCCACCGGAAGGATCCTGGCCCGGTTTGTCGCAAATTGCCTGTCATCAAACCTTCATCATGCCATGACTAGCATTGACCAGCGGGAGTCTGCAGCCTTCTGCTCCTGGGCCTGGCCTGTTTTCTGAAATGGGCCTGACATGGGCCTATTTTCAGGGAAATGGGCAAACCGCGGTCATTACGCCAGAACACCGGTCAAATGGGCCAAGCAAACCTGTCTCCAATGATGAAAACAAGTACGTCCTGGTCTATGACAAAAGAAGCAATTATCAGGGACGATTTTTGACATCGAGCCCAAGCTGTCCCGCTACAACTTAAGCTGTCATGAATATGGCCTCGCAATGACAGTTTGCAAAGTTCTTGAAAAAGCTTGCTTCGGACAGACCCTGCTCCCAGGGGCTCCCCCGGAGCGGTCAGTGGTGGCCGGGAGGTCACAGGCAGGTCACAGCAGCGAGGAAGCGTCCAAGGCAGGTCACAGCAGCGAGGAAGGGTCCAAGGCAAGTC